GCCCCATTTAGCTCTAATGATAAACCGTTGCATGGTTAACAGAGAAGGGAACTACCTGGCATTGGGATGATGTGGTTGAGACTGCTTTCCTGGCATCCAAGCAGGCTATTAAGCAGGCACAAGCCTTAAGGGTAATTGACCAGGGGCCCCTGTTTGAGCTGGATGTGCGTGTGACCACAGATGGTTTTGGTTGTGGCCTATGGTGGCACAGAGTGCCTGAGAATGCTAGCAGGCTTTTGGTCCCAACTATGGAAAGAAGCTGAGCTCCGATATTCCTTGATAGACAGCTAGCAGCCATATATGCTGCCCTTCAGTCTTGTGAAAGTGAGACAAGATGGGCTACAGTCATCACGTGGATGGCTTACCCAATAACGGGATGGGTGCATTCATGGGTAATGACTTTCGCACTGGGACAGCACAGACATCCACTTTGGCAAAGTGGAGCAACTACTTGAAGCAGCGAAGTTTGCTGAGTACAAGCCCCTTAGCAGCAGAGTTGCAAGAGGTCTTGGGATCTGTAGTCCTAATGTAAGAGAAGGCCATGGGGCCTGAGGTACCCCTAGACCTCATTTAAGGAAGGGCACTCCCCCCTATTCCTGATAGGGCATGGTACACCAATGTGTCTAGCCGAGGTGCTAGTGCTGCCTGGACTGCTGTTGCAGTCCAACCTAGTACTGACACTATATGGTTTGAAACGGGGTTTGGGCAAAGTAGCCAATTGGCTGAACTTAGAGCAGTGTGGATGGTGATCACCAAGGAGGAGACACCTCAGGTAATCTCTATCAAGGCTTACCCTTGTGGTTAACTACTTGCAAAATACCGAATTGGCTAGTCGGCCACTGACCCATGTGGGGCAAAGTCATATGGCAAGACCTCTGGGAAATAGGTCATCAGAAAGATGTAACTATTTATCATATTGGCCATATGCCTCTGGCCACCCCGGCAATGATGAGGCAGATGTCTTGGCCAAGGTCCAATGGTTAATTGGCACCTACATGACATGTGGCCTTGTGGCTACACCAGAAACTGGAACATGTAGGGGGTAAACTGATGTGACAGGGCAATAAGCATTGGGGTCTGTCCCTGAGCTTGTCAGAAATGCCCAGCTTGTGCTCAGTCATACCCTAAATGGAGGCAGCTGCCCAGTGTTACACAACAAGTGACAATAGGGTGAGTGACCTTGACCAGGTGACAAGTAGACGACATTGGGCCACTGCCAAAGTCGCGAGGTGCTAACAGCTGTGGACACTGCCACAGGCCTGTTGTCCATCTACCCTTGCAGGGTGGCCAACCAACAGCACACCATCTGGGTCCCGCAACACTTATGTGCCCTGTATAGTTGCCCTCTGGCCGTTGAGAGTGATAGGGGAACCCATTTCACTGGACAACAAGTACAACAATGGGCACAACAAATGGACATAAAGTGGGGATTCCATGTGCCATACAACCCACACTGTGGATATGATGAAGTGATATTACAGGCTCTTCAAGAATTGAGTTATGCTTGCATGTCACATCCCTGTCTTTGCAGGGCTGGAGTTCCATGCTGGACGTGGTGGTTCAAACCTTGAATGGCCACGGAAAGGCAGTCCGACCCAGATGGAGGCTTTGTTACACCAGGCCACCACCCCTATTCAGTTGCAAATACACACTAAGGATGACCTCCTCTGACCAGGTATGGGGACGAACAGTAACCTGTTGGTGCCTGCCCCAATGCGCTTGAAGGCAGGGGATCAGAAAACCTGGCTGTGGCCATGGACCCTCCAGGCTCCCCACTGCTGGTGGTTGGCCCCTCTAGCTCCCTGTGGGGAGCGCTTACAGTATGACTTACAGTATGTCACCCCTTGGGTGTTCAATACATGGCCTCTGTGGTTGACTGTTCTGAAGGGACAAACCAGGGAAGAAATCTCCTCCGGGGGACATATGCACTGTCTGTGTGGCCAATTATGAGCTCCCCCTTGACTTTGGCATGCATATAGGACTCAGGAACCATGGGGAGCTCAGAAGGTGTGGTACCATTGCCCAGGGCAGAAGCTCTTGGCAGCTGCATTGTTATGCATGCATGAAAAGTTAGCCTGCATTTTGCCTGAGGGACGTGATTTACCTCTGTTAGTAGCTGTGTCTGCTCTGTCATTTCTACCGTAGGTTAACACGCTCCAGCTGCATTGTAAACTGGGCCCACACCTACACTGAGGTGACCAGTTTCCAACTGTTGGCTCTTCACTGCCCTTCCAGTGGCAGCTGCAGATGGCTTGCCTTGGCATATACATTCAGTGTCTGCAGAGAAGTGGACATGGCTAGAGACTTGGGGTCCATGGCTGATGCCTGGAACACAACACAGAAAGCTTTGGACAAAGGACGCTCTAAGACCCATAGCACTCCTGCCACCTGGCTGGTCCATAGCACTTAAGATGGGTGGGGCTGGTTAGTGGGGGACATGTAGTACCCTCAGTTCAGGTGTCGCAGTGCATAGAGCAACGTTGGGTTAATACCACTGTGAGATGGGTACCTGTTACTGCCCGCGTAAACGTAATGCACATCACCTGGGAATTTATGGGTCTATGGGGACAAGGTCTGGCCTTACTTACCAGTGAAGTGGACTAGATGTTGGACCTGGGGATGGTCTTATGTACCTGCCACTGTTCTCTCCACACTGCCCAGACACCTGCATTACTGGAAGAAGCTACACTCAGTTTTTGTGAGTGCAACAAGCCCCCTGGTGGTTCTACTCCTTGACAGTGACTATCCCTGGAACGGGTGTCACAACTGTAGAAGCACAAGCTACTGCTCTTGCAGAGCACGCTTCTCGGGCTCTGAATTATACCCCAGTGGCCCTCCTCCTATTAACGGATGAGGTTGATCAGATGAGAAAGATGGTGTTGCAAAACCAAATGGCCTTAGACATAGTAACTGCTGCACAAGGAAGCACCTTTGCCCTTTTAGGAACACAATATTGTACCTTTATTCCTGACAAGTGGCAGAACATAACGGCAGCCCCCCAAGAGGTCTGATGAGAGATTAAGGTAGCTGAGAGCCTTACTGACAACCCCCTGCAGAGATGGTGGGCATCCTTGGGCTCTGGCCTATGCTGGGCCCTAACAGTCATAAGTGGTACAGCTAAGATCCTAGTAGTGAGCTGTTGCTTTCTATATTATTACTGTGGATTATGGATTAAGGGCTCCACCCTATGGGCATGTATCCCTACCTGAAAGATTCCCCTCAGCCTAGGGGGTGAACTGTAAGGGAAATGGCTGCATTTTAGTCAGGATTAGGCTGAGGCAGCCTTCTGGTGCAGCATTGACTTAGTGGGTTTGGAGTGTAGGCGCACAACTCTGCACATTATGTAACCATGCCACATGAGGCACGTTAGGTGACCACTCACATGAGCCTGTGGTTGGCTCAGATCCACTATTGTCTGTAAAAGGTGTAACTATCCTGCTGATGCTGTGTGTATGGCTTGCACCCAAAGAGAGAATATAGCCATGTTGAAACCTGAGTTTTTCTAACTATTCACCACCAGCCCACTGACTTCCCTCTGACCTCCGTTTGGGCTAGAATCTGACAAACAGTAATAAAGAATTCTTTTTTCTTGAGTTCAAACCATGAATAATCATTTACTCTGCATTGTAATTATAGGGTTGTCATTCAGAAGATAAATTCCAGGCAAGTGGCAGATATCTTCTAAGGAAAAACGTTTTTAAGAATAATGCTCAAATATTTATAGGCATTGCTGGTGGACTCCAGAGCTATTATTTTATTGATCTTCATTTTATTTTCTTTTCAAATGTTTTATTTATGGAATTATTTTATGTGTGTGTGTGTGTGTGTGTGTGTGTATGTTTCTACCTTTAAAAAACGTCTTTCCTCAGCAAGGAAAGTTTAGGACTAATTAAAAACTCCCATTTGGTAGATAGATAATGAAATGAGATAACGGTTAAGTGACTAGTATAAAGTCTAACCCAGTAGAAGCTTCCAAAGTCTCTCTGTGAACTGTGTTGTTCGTTATTTATGAAAATTATGGTAGACAAAACATTCAAAATAAAACTGTGGGGCCACAAAACACCTTCTGATTATAAATACTTGAACTTTATCTGGGGTTATTTTGTGTGCATGTTTTCATGCCAAGAGTAAAAATTCCACAATCCTAATAGATGGAGTTGTTTTCCTACTAAACATATATCAAGTAATGGACTTTACCTTCTTTCTACTTTTTGATACAGAGCAACTACACATACATATGTGTGTTGCTTCTGAAAAGATCACGCACCTTGCTTCCTGCAGATTGGGTATCCATGGATACTGCAAAGAGTTTCCAAAGGAACGCTGCTTAGAATTTTCACCATGCCAGCCTCAAAGGCCTTTGAATGGAAAGTGATATTTGAATTAAAGGGACAGGCATCATTGGTCCATACCAAAATACTGGGCAGATTTGCAGAAATCATCTTCCTTTCTGCACTATTCAATGTAAAGGCAGAGAGGCTGGATTATTTATCCTATAAAAGGGAGATGAGCGGAAGACATCGGGTTGATATATTCCCTACCCAAGGCTCAATGACCTATTTATATTTCTCACCTGATGATGCATGTTCTTATAATCAAGGTCTCAAGATTTATACATCAGACAGGGAAAAATACACAGAACAATACAAGTTGCATTTTTATATGCCCCAGTTTATATCCCTAAATGACAAAAAGTATTCGGAGGAGGGGCAGAGCCTATTAGTTTACAAGGTTTACAAGCCTATGATTAGGAGTCTGAAGCAGGCTACAGTGAAATTCAAAATGCAGCTCAAGAGAGTAAGGCAGCAATTTCATCTGGGGAGAGAATACATTACCAGTACATTTTCTTTTCTGGATCCTTATCACTAAATCAGCTGAAAAATCTGTTCTTAAAAGCAATCATAATGAAATTTTCTATTGTTCAATGAACCTGGCCTTCAGGAATATAGGAAATTAAGTCAGAATAAGATAATTTTGAATCTCCAATAAATACTCCAAAGTTTTAGGTATTTAATATTTATTTAGTTCATAAAAAGGCACTGCCCCCTCCAGTCTTCATCCATGAAACTTTCATGACTACCTCTCTGCTTTGTGGCTTCTTTTAGTGCCCAAGTTATATCACATTTCTCGCTGAAGTTCAGACAATTGAAAACAGACTCACATCTAGGGAAATCAACAGACCAACAATGGCAAAACACAATACCATGAAATGGAAAAATAATGTTTGTTACAGGAGTGCAGCAATTTAGAGAATGTCTCAGGAGTGCGGCTCACTGGCAGCTGCAGCTATGTTAGCGTTTCTCTCTGCCTCAAGTTCAGAAACAAGCTGGACTATCTCAGGGTGACTGAATTTTCCTGTAAAACCAAAGAACAGAGAAAAATACATTCCCATATTGACAAGAGAACATATCCATTTCCCCAGCTTGATCCCAGGGCTCACTGGGGGCTCTAGTCTGTGATCTGACCCACACTTCATTCCAAAGCAGAATGAGATTCCAGGTCCTGAGAAGGGGCTGGAAAGGACCATTTGGCATTCATGCTCTGTCACTCCAGGTGCCACTGAGATTAAGGATGAGACTCAGGCAAGGAATCATCAATTAGGCAGAGCTAAACTTCACCAGACTCCTGAGTGTCTCTATCAGGAACTACAGGAAAACTCAAGTGTGAGAGCCCAGAAAGCTGAAGACAATCTCTGCCCATTCCAAACCTGCAATTAAATAAGGAGAATGAATAACCTATATATGAAAAGACAAGGAGGAAGACCACAGGGGCTAGGCCAGCTCAGAATGTAAACAAGGATGCAGGGTGTCTCTCTTGTAAACATCTCTCTACTTCAATTGGCTGATCTGTGCTGTCATCCCTGCTCCTCAGACCTTCCCAGATTTCTGCTCTGATAGCAGCCAAGCTCTAAGCTATCATAGGTCCATGGTGGCTAGCATGGGGGACTGTTCAACCCAACATCTCTTCCTTTTCTGGCCTGTGTCTTTTGTTGCTTACTGTTCATTCCACATTAAACTCTACTCCATTTATTTCCTATCCTCAACTTCTTATCTGAATATACCCTTTCCTTTCTTTTTAGATGCTCCACATGAAAGGGTCAGAAAAGGGTACCAACAGCGGGTTTCTCTAATGTTAATGTTGGTCACTACACTGAGTAAGCCAAACTAAAATGGACTCTTGTTGAAAATGGTGTTGAGTACCTGCCGTAGAATCATAGAAGTCTTGTAGTCTTCCAGGTTTGTGTTCAAGGTCTTCATACTCAGATGCCTGAAGAATCATCTCACATTGGTCTAGCTGCTTCACAAATTTGGCTTCTGCACTAGACTGGGTCTCATACTCCTAAGTAAAGGGACAATTAAGGCAGCATGATTAGTGCTGCGTAAGGTATCCCAGGAAAATTCTGACTCTGGTACCCAAAATCAGTGTGACAGCTACAAGTATATTCTGTATTGGCCCCATTTCTCTACTGTTTACAAATCCTTCAGAGACACTTCTTCTGTAATTTCACAACCTAACACCAGGACTCTACACAAGAAAGATGTGCTCACCAGTCTAAGTATTCTACCAGATGCCATGGAAGTCTCATACGCTCATCTTAGGTACTTCCAAGATCTTTTCTTCCTGTTCAATACCCTGTCTTCATTTTAAGATCATTATTCTTTAATCTACCTAAGTAGTTTAGATATTTTTAATCTCAAGCTGATATTTCATCTTATGCCTCTTAAGCTTGTATTTCCCTTTCCATTTCATGTCAGGCTTTCCTTTTCATTTGTAAGTGAATTTCTAGCTTTATCATTTACTTTTGGTTACCACTTTGCCTGGGAATCTCTGTGCTTACTTTCCAAATAGGGTAGATTTAATTAAGTCCCTCTGAGTTAACACTATTGAGGATACAGTCAAGATCTGAGGATTTTACATGCACTGCTATGTGCATGTGTTGCAGGTGGGAGGTGGTGTTGGTGGTGGGGGGGTGAGCAGCTTTTCCACTTTTTCCTTCCCACAGGCCCCTCCCTCTGCAGTGCAGACTTCGAACAAGAATCTCCAGGAGGTCTGCTTCTTTTTTTCAGAATGACGCATGCCACGCAACCACAAGTCCCAATTAATAATATATAGATTCATTCTTCTATTAAAACTAGAGTGCCCCCAACTGGTTTCCCTGCCAAGGTTTTGTTTGTAATTCTACCCCAGATGTGTTCAGACAATAAACCTGTCATGGTTTCTTGGCAGGGTGATGTGACATGAATCACTTAAAGGTTTCTTAGTTTTTATTACATGCTTATTCTTACAAAGGCAGCTACTTGGATTTGATAAAGCTGAGAACTGTACAGAGGAATCATTTCAATATGGAACCAAAAACATTTTGCTTTATCTCAAAGGCACTGAAAAATAATTTCATTTTATTTGTTTATTCACATTCAGTTATATATTTATGTTTAATAAATTCAAGTTCATGATTTAACAAAAAGAAATACTCCAAGCATAGCAGTCTAGAATATTTTTTTTTCTGTTAAAAGTTGAAAGTGAGAAAAATATTTAAAGACCATTAGGAAATACATCATATAACAAATTCTCATGAACTTACACATTTCTTTTAAAAGAAATATAAATTATTGAAATTTTGCCTAAAAAATAATGATATAGGCATTCTCCAATAAAAAGGCAGAGCATACAAAATAATACTACAGACAGAACTCTAAGGGTGAGAAGAATGCATGGCATTTAGAGAAATTATTGCAAGTAGTTCTTAATGTCAGGAAGAGTCAGGTTCAGATTTGCATTTTTTTTTTTTTTTTTTTTTGAGATGGAGTCTTGTTCTATCACCCAGGCTGGAGTGCAGTGGTGCAATCTTGGCTCACTGCAACCTCCACCTCCTGGGTTCAAGTGATTCTCCTGCCTCAGCCTCCTGAGTACCTAGGACTACATGTGCTTCCACCACATCCGGCTAATTTTTTGTATTTTGAGTAGAGATGGGGTTTCACCATGTTAGCCGGGATGGTCTAGATCTCCTGACCTCGTGATCTGCCTGCCTCAGCCTCCCAAAGTGTTGGGATTACAGGCATGAGCCACTGCGCCTGGCCACCAGGTTTGCATTTTAGAAAGGTCATTCTAACTACACGTGGATAATATCTAGATTGGAAGCAGAGAAATAGATTTTGTAGCATTAGCAGAGAAGTTATAGGAATCTGATCTAAGAGAGTAGCTGTGAAGATGGAGAGAAGCAGTAGGATTTAAGAAATATTAAGGATAACGAAGTGAACTAAAATATAACAGTAAATGAGATAGAAACCTGAAAATGACTGCCTGGTTTCTGGTTTGAGTAACTAGGTCCATCGTAAAATAGTAAGCAAAAGAGAAGAAACAGATAAAAACTGACACAGCAAAGAAACAGTAAAACCCAAACCTCATGGATAATATATACATCAAAACTAAGGGACATGACATTCCCATCAAGTCCAGATACAGCAAGAAGAGACAAACCACCTCTAAGCCCTGCATGCAATCAGCATCTGGAAGCAACAGGATGAATGTCTGATGGACCTGAGAATAGGAGAATCTCAAAAGAGCCAATAGGTATTCTCTAGAAAACTCACATTTTAAGAACAGTAATTGACACTGGGAAGGATCTTGCCCACTCCAATAGTGGATAAACACAAGGAGCTTAAGTTCAGCCCTAGTGAATTTTCCAATCTAACCTGCTGGGGCTCCTTTCCAGGAGAGGGCCGATATGAGGAGAAAGTACTGGGAATAATATTAAAATTGAGTGGTATACATATAACACAGGAAAAAAAACGTCCACTCAGAGACTTTTGTTAAATCATGAACTTGAAGAAAAAAACCATATAAAAATGGGGAAGGGGAACAAAAGCAGGAGGACATCTCTTAAAGCAAGCCAACTTTTTTTTTTAATGCTACATTAGAAAAAACACATACAATAACAACAAAAGCAGAAGCTTTGTGAAGTTAAAAAAGCAACTTGTGAGGGGGGCACCAAGATGGCCGAGAGAAGCCAGTACTGGAATGCAGCTCCCAGCAAATGAGACGCCGAGGGCTAGAGGACTTCACGATTCCAAACCAAACAAGGTTCCAGGTTCGTTTCTGTGGGATTGGTAGCACACTGAAATTAGGCCCAGGGAAGCAAATCAAGACGGGGGATGGGGCACGGGGGTGGGGGGGTGGGTCGTGTCCCCACCTGAAAGGTGCAGCTGGCTCGGAGGGTCGGGGGACTTAACTCCCTTTGTGCTCTGTTTCAGATCCTGTGCTTACCTCATCCCTCCTGCAACCCACCTTCATGAGAGCCCTGCCAGACAGTGGGGCGTGGATGCAAATCTGAGCAGCAGTTACTGGTCGCGGCAAGTTGTCGCAGGGACCTGGGCGAGAGTTTGAACGAATGCCAGTGAGACGGACCCTCCCACAGAGGGAGGCAGAGTTGAAAGCAGGGAAACAGACCATAAGGCCTGGCAGGTCCCACCTCCACAGAACTCAAACTGAAGCCCTTGCTAGAGAGCTTGACTGCAAATACACCAGCTTGACCCCAACCAGGAAGATCAAGCTTTGGGAGAGACACCATTGGGAAGGCGGGGCCAATCTCACCTGCAAACAAACTCCAGGGCAGGACCACCCACCCAGCAACCTGACTGAACCAGAGAGCCCAGCAATGCCCTCTACAGGCCAAAAAAGATACAGCTCCAACCTCGACAGGGAAAAAAAACGTCCGCTCAGAGACTCCTCCTGAAATCACCAACTTCAAAGATTAAAGGGAGATAAATCCACGAAGACAGGAAAAATCCAGCACAAAAAGGATGAAACCATCAAAGAACAGAACACCTCTTCTCCTCCCAGGGATCACAACTCCTCACCATCAAGGGAACAAAAAAAGACAGAGAATGAATCTGACGAATTGACAAAAGCAAGTTTCAGAAGGTGGGTAATAACAAACTTCTCTGAGTTAAAAGACCATGTTCTAGCCCAATGCAAAGAAACTAAGAAAGTTGAAAAAAGGTTAGAAAAAATGCTAACTAGAATAACCAGCTTAGAGAAGAACATAAATGACTTGATGGAGCTGAAAAACACTGCACGAGAACTTCGCAAGGCATACACAAGTTTTAACAGCCAAATCGATCAAGCAGAAGAAAGGATATCAGAGATAGAAGATCAAATCAATGAAATAAAACAAGAAGGCAAGATTAGAGAAAAAAGAGTGAAAAAAATGAACAAAGCTTCCAAGAACTATGGAATTATGTGAAAAAACCTAATCTATGCTTGATCAGCGTACCTGAATGTGATGGGGAGAATGAATCCAAATTGTAAAGCACTCTTCAAGATATTATCCAAGAGAACTTTCCCAACCTAACAAGGCAGGCCAACATTCAAATCCAGGAAATACAGAGAGTACCACAAAGATATTCCTCAAGAAGAGCAACCCCAAGGCACATAGTTGTCAGATTCACCAGGGTTGAAATGAAGGAAAGATTCCTAAGGGCAGCCAGAGAGAAGGGTCGAGTCACCCACAAAGGAAAGACCATCAGACTCACAGCGGATCTCTTGGCAGAAACTCTGGAAGCTAGAAGGGAGTGGGGACCAATATTCAACATCCTTAAAGAAAAGAACTTTCAACCCAGAATTTCATATCCAGCCAAACTAAACTTCCTAAGTGAAGGAGAAATAAAACCCTTTACGTACAAGCAATTGCTGAGAGGTTTTGTCACTACAAGACCTGCCTTACGGAAGCTACTGAAGGAAGTACTAAACAGGGAAAGGAACAACCAGTACACACCAAATGGTAAAGAATAACAATGCAATGAAGGAGCCACATTAATTAATGGGCAAAACAACCAGCCAGTAACAAAATGGCAGGATCAAATTCAAACATAACAATATTGACGTTGAATGTAAATGGCCTAAACGCCACAATCAAAAGACACAGACTGGCAAACTGGATAAAAAGTCAAGACTTGACAGTATGCTGTATTCAGGAGACTCATGTCACATGCAAAGACTCACACAGACTCAAAATAAAGAGATAGAAGAAGATTTACCAAGCAAATGGAGAGCAAAAAAAACCAGGGGTAGCAATCCTAGTCTCTGATAAAACAGACTTTAAACCAACAAAGATCAAAAGAGACAAAGAAGGGCATTATATAATGGTAAAAGGATCAATGCAACAAGAAGAGCTAAATTATTGCAAATATTTATGCACCCAATGCAGGAGCACCCCAATACATAAAGCAAGTTCTTAAAGACCTACAAAGAGGCTTAGACTCCCACACAATAATAGTGGGAAACTTTAACACTCCACTGACAATATTGGACAGATCAACAAGACAGCAAGTCAGCAAGGA